ATTCCAGATGCGACGTGGCGACCGGCCGACGATGCGTGCGAATTTTCGTCATGGCGACGTACGCAGACGCGCGCAACTTTCGTATGCGAACGTTCCTCCCCGGCCCGATCGACCGCGCGAGTCCGCGCGCCGCGTTATGTCATCACGCGATGAAAGTATTAACGATAAATAGTAAGGAAATAGTAGGTACGTCGCAAACTGTGCCACTGAAAAGTTACTTCGCTCGGGAGATAAGTAATCCAATTATATTTATCATTTTGCTTCTGGCGAAAATTTCAATTACCGCGTTCCCGCAACGAGTCGACGTTTTCGTGCCACTTTGACGCTTTTAATGATAGCTTGCGACCGTTTAAATGATCTATGGACTAATAAAAACCCGATGGTATTACACTTGTTAGATGATATCTCACTTGTTTTCGAGTCTTAAACTTACCGCATTCTGAGACCCGTGAGGACCGTTCGACTTTGTCGCTTTGTCATTTTCATTCTGATCAATATTTTTCAACTTCTAATGCAGAAACTGGAGGCACAGAGTCTGAATAAGTTGTTTACGATATCATGTCAAGAAAATTACTCGGGTTTAAAAAGTAGACTAATTATTACAAGCAAAAGAGTGTTTCCGAAAACAAATTCCCGATGGTTTTGCAAGTGCGACTTAAGAAAAGGCAAGGTACGTTCGTTGTAGCGAACATCTGATAGTTTAAGAAAAAAAAAAAAAAAACGAATTACGTCATGTGAAAACTAAAAAATGAAAAAAATATTCAACGGCCCGCTGGACCGGAAAGTGGCGTGCTACATTGAGAAAAAAAATGGTACGATCAACGAAATTCCGCTGAAACAAATACAATTTGTTCAAACGCGACGTTTTATCCATCAGACAAATCTTACAGTTGCCGTAATGAGTTATTCAACGATTGCGACTTAGTCAGCAACTGTATTAACGTAAGATATTGTTGCGTCAACGCGTCAATTCGTGCGATGGACGCAATATTTTTCTGAATCGACTGCCAATTTTGTCAGTCCAACTGCTTTTCCCTCAGAGCTTAGGGTTCAGTTTTTTTTCCTCATTTCAATACTAATACTAATCTATGAGATTTTCATTCCTACCGGTCGATTTTATTATTATCGGAGCCGAAAATATTTCTCGCTTTTGCCTCGATGTGATAAAATCCAAGAAATATATAAGTAGACGAAAAGCGAAGGAGAAAGAAAGATCAAGCGGTGAATCGCTTGTACGCGCTCAGAGCACGCGCGCGCGCCTATCTCGAGCGTTTCTTCGCTCGTTCGTGCCGGTCCGTGCCGCGGAGCTTTCTTTTCATTTCGTCATTACACCTATGCGAGCCGACACGTTAAAGACACCCGTCCATACTTTTATTCCGTAGAAAGAAGTGCCGAAGTTCACGATCGACTTTCACTCGGCCGTCGGCTTCTGGCGCCGATGCGACTCGCCCGGGCTTACCTACTTTGCTCGCTTATTATAATTAATTACTAGTCGGACACACCGGATGTACCTTGATCGGGATGTATTCCGTATTTCTTATGAATAATTCGCCGCGAGATATTCGCCGATCCGCAGCGTCACGGTCCTCAAAAGTGTCACAGAGGCGATTCGTCGTCGTCGTGGCTGCGTGCTCGAAACATGAATATTCAGCGAGTCGTCGATGATAAATTTTTGTGCCCCTCGCTATTTATATCCCCATTCTAATAGCCCGCCGCGATTTCTCACTCGTACACGAAGGAACGCTTTCCAATATCTCGCGCGAAGAATTTCGTTCATCAGCGAACGGGACATTCCGCGCGCCATTGGATAATCGCTTTATCAGCGATTCGTTCAACATGTTGGGAAATCCGAGCTCTTTGTTGAATCCCAATCTCCGACTTGTAAATAAGTGGACGAGCAGGTACATTTGTAGATGTTAATTTTATGATAATCACCGGGCCGACGGGATCCGACTGAATTCGCCTCGTCCATAACGAAGCGTTTTAGAGCTGATTTTGTAACCTCCGGTCAACCCGCCAATTGTTCCACTGTAAACTGGCCAATGTTGCATCTGTCGTTAAAACGAATCGACCAGAAATAACAAATCACGGTTTGACACCTAACCGATCGGTTACGCTAACCGGAGGTTGCGAAAGTGGCCCTTAATATCTCGCGTTAGATACCGATTCATGAATAAACAATCACGGACAGCGTGGGGATTTCGACGTCGTAGATTTATTTAGAGACGTTCGACACACATTCTCGAATCCTCATTGCACAATCCGCGCGCTCTTGCTACCGTTATGTCACTATTACCGTCGTATCAAAAGGCAAAAAAGTGAAAGCACCCCGTGGCGCGGACGGAGGGCACGCCGGCGAGAGAATTTTGTAGAACTGTATTTTTCCGCACGATCCGGCTCGGCGGACGAGCGATCCGCGCGATTTCTCGCCTTTGAGAAAAATCCACCGTGTGATTTATGACGCGCAACTTCTCGCACCTGTGACCGCGCCGTCACGTGTCATCTCGGACAAGATTACGCCGGTGTGACTCGCGCACTTTGCGCTTCTTTGCTCGGACGATTACGCAACGGTCGAATCGTGTCGGTGGATGTGTCGAATTCGCGGTATGAGATGCAGCATCGGCGTTTATCGAAGGCTCCGTTAACGTTCTCCGATTCCCTAAACACGACGCAGGAAATTTCACACACAACACAAAAAATAATTAACAGTTACGTTATCGCGTTGCATTGTTGGCCAGCGGTCGACGTTAGACACAAATTGTTTGCCTCTTAGCTGGACACTCGGAAGATTGAATTTCTGCCGGGAGAATCTCGACGGTCGTTCCGTGATTCCGTGAGGATACGATTGTATCGACATCGCCCAGCGGCGAAAAAACGCCGTTTATTCCCTCCGTGCGCCAATTTTTGCCTTCTTCCTCCGGACGCCAGACTTTTTCAAGCGACCGACGACACCGCGGCAACTCCTTCACGCGCTTCGGTTGTATGCATTATTCACGGGGGGACGCTGCCGGCTATGTGGATGGGTACATCGCGAAAACAAAACCCGAGAGTCGCTCCAAAGTGCCGCGACCTGACGGGAGATTGATGGTGTCCGCCCATGCATGCGCGCATCAAGATTTTCCCGGGTGTCACCCTGGGAGCCCGTGCCTCTCTCTCTCTCTTTTTTTTCCCAGCGAGAACGCGTGCGGAACAACTTTTGTTCGCACGCGACACACTGGAAAAATGGCGTCATCGCGTTTCGCGCGTGTTGTTAATTTCTCATGCGTAACCAGCATCCTCGTCGCGCACGCGCTCGCTAATCCAACAACGAGAGACAGCTTCATCGGGTGCAGCGTGTGCATATTCAATCGGCGGCTGATCACGCACGGATCGTCGGCGGAATTCTCTCTCTCTCTCTCTCGAGAAAGAGAGACGACGCGATAAGCAAACATCGTTTCTCTGGTAGAACAGAGGGCATACAATGTACATAGTGACGTTAGCGTGAACACGTTGTCATTAATGAGAGGACGGGATGTACGTCTTCGTGGAAACGGGCCAGCCTTCGCCGGGAGGATATTTGCTTTTCTTCATACGCGCGCATGCCGCGAGATTTTTCGTCTCGGAGACGGAAGACTCCACCCGGCTGTCGCGCGCTGCAAGAACGGTGTCGCTGTTTCTTTCGCAGCAAGGACACCGCTCATTTATGAACGCGCACACACGCGCGCGCGCGCAAATACGGGGAATATTTGTGCCGCTTGTGTTAACCAGTCAAAGATGGTGTGCGTTCGTTCGAAGAACGCACGTCGCATTGCACAAAGTTGGCCGAGCGAGTCATCGAGCGAATTCATCAAGCTCAAGTCGGTAACGCTGTGTTCTTCATAGCTGCACTGCCGAATTGGTGCAATAAGTCGAGACTAAATATACTTGCCTCGCTCTAACTTGCCGCAACAGATCAGCAGCGCAGCTATGAAGAACCGACCGAATGATTAACGAGCGCTTTTCGCGGGATCGATTCGAAACGGGGAACGAGATTTCTCCCGAACTCGCGCGCTCGTCATCTCCTCGGAAGATCTCCTCGCGCCAACTCGACATTCGCATGGGCTCGCGGTATCAGCAAAGTAAACAAGAAATAACGTCCGTGCGTGTATCCTTGTCTCGGAACGAACGCCTCGCCGAAGCTACGGGGAAAAAAAAGAGGAGGAAGAAGTCCGCGCGCATTCCGGAATACGTGATCGCACCTTGAGAAAAGAATCACCACCATTATCTCGGCCGATAAGTTACGGTCAAATGAATTCGTTCCGTACGAGGAACTACGTTTGAACGCTCTTCCCCCCCCCCCCCGGCGTTAGTTCCTCATCGAAAATTCTTTGCAAAAAATGTGGGAGACGCACGTATTTGCAGGGATTACGTCACGATTCTATGCTAACTGTCACTAATTGGGAGGGTAAAACGTCCTCCAACTTTCTTTCTCTTCTTTTTTATGCCAAAACCAGAGAGAAAAAAAGAGAGGGGTATCGCGGACGATTTCGATATCTGGGGGGAGCGAGAAAAGCAGAACGGTCGCGCTGACGTGCATGGCGTCACGCAGAGAGATCACGATAACGATCGGACGCGGCTGCACATTGTATGGCGCATTGTATGACACGATGTTTCATCTCCCGGTCGGGTAGTTTGACTCGGGTGCGGAGGAAAGAGCGAGATACGTGTCCGAATGGCGCGAAGTATAATCGCGTTGCACCGATACCGAATGGTCACGTTAATGGTTTTAAGTAATCGGCTCGCTCGCGTTTACGAATCTCCTCGCGGGCACGTAGGAGCGATATATAATAATGAGTGATAGGCCAACGACGGCAAGTCGCCCCGACCGCGACTCGCAAAAGGAAGAGTCACCTTTTTAAATTCGATGCGGGCCTCGTGATAACGCGCGTCAGACGGACAGACGGACGGACGGATAAGCGGAATCGCAAGTGAGCGGGAGGAATGCGAATTGAGCGCGGAATGAAGGGCGCGAACGGTTGCAGGTGAACCGACCCGGAGGAGAAATGGTGGAGGTGCTGTTGGACCGAGTCGACGGCCAAGAGGTGGCCGTCGCCGCCGAGTCGGACTGCATACCGGAATCGCCGACCGAGTGCTCGCTGAGGGACTCGCCGGCCGACGAGAAGCTGTCGGCGGTGCAGGAGTTCTACAATGGCCAAAGCGTCTTCATCACCGGCGGTACCGGCTTCATGGGCAAGCTGATGATCGAGAAGCTGCTGAGGACCTGCTCCGGCATCGCGTCCATCTACCTCCTGGTGCGCCCGAAGAAGGGCAAGGACGTGCACCAGCGCACCGAGGAGATCTTCGACGACCCGGTGAGTTCCGAGAGACCGCGGAATGGAAACGACAAATCAAACCGGCGAGGGAGCCTTAACGCTTTCACTGACACGGGTCATTACGTATGCCGCGAGGTGCTATTCGTAATACGCGCATCATGCGAGACACGTGAGCGATGAACTGTTAAGCCATCGGGGCCTTTCGTTTGTTTCATCGGCGATTACTTCTCCCGGAGGATTCGATCGTCATTTCTCTCTCATCTCACGTGCTCGCGTTCGGGATTGATTGATAGGTAGTTGATCCGTGATAACACTCGGAGAAAGATAATAGTTTAATGCAACACGGAGCTCGATAAATCTCTGTTAAATATTTATAAATAAGATTTATGAGCATATCTTTGACGTTACAGCCAGAGAAACTTACATAACGTTTAAAAAGTCATAAAGGAGTAAACATTTTGTCGCGCTTTGACATATATTTATGGCTGGGACTGCCTGTGTTAGACTGCATGTATTCGCGAATTGGTGAGGATTTTGCTTATATTTAGATACGGTAATATGAAGTGGCGTGTATTCATTGTATTCGCATTAATACTGCGCTTACATTTACATACGTATGAGAGACGCAAAAAGAGTAGCGTGATGAAATCAGTGCTGATGTAACATAACGTAATTTTCATTTCATTTGAATATTCTGTGATCAATCATCGACTAGTGTTCGTCTTCTATGTCTTATGTATTCTAAAAGTTTTCTACTAACGATTTTCCCCGCAAGTAAAGATTATTATTATTATAACATTCTGAAGATCGCTTCTACGTTATCGACGTGTAGTCAAGTTCGTCATAGATTTGAACCAACAAAACTTTTCCTATAAAATCGATGCTTTTCGTAACTTATCGTAACAAGCGTAAATAACGAAAATAAACGACGTAATTAACATTGTAACGAATTTGTGCTAATTAGTCTGAGCGTGTCTTAATTACCGTCTCAATTTGCGTAGCTGTTTTTAAAGCTGAAGGACGAGCAGCCGAAGTTCCGACATCAGATCGTCGCGATCCCGGGTGACTGTAGTCAACCGAATCTCGGTATATCCTCGCAGGATCGGGACATCCTCATCCGGGAGATCTCGATCGTCTTCCACGTGGCGGCCACGGTCAGATTCGACGAGAAACTGAAACTAGCGATGGCCATTAACGTGAGGAGCGCCAGGGACATTTTGTGTCTCTGCAAGGAGATCACGAATTTGAAGGTACCGAAGCGAGACAAGCGCTTGACTCGAATTTAATCAATCGCAATTAAACGAATCACGTGATCAAACGACGAGGAGAATCGAGAAACAACGAAACCATCGCGATTGTTCCAATGTTCGCAGTCGTTCGTGCACGTGTCGACCGCATACGCGAACTGCCCGCAAAGCGTGATCGAGGAGAAGTTTTACGATCCGCCGATCGACTCGGACAAGTTGATCGCGGTGATGGAATGCATGGAGGACAAGTTGGTCGAAGACATCACCCCGCAGTACGTGAGAGTAGCATCCTTCATTCGTCACCCGAATGTTTTCTTTTTCAGAGCGCGAAAGTGGAATCGGTGGTAGTCTCACCTTGTTCTCTCCTCCTCGCCCTTTCAGATTATTAGGGAAATGGCCGAACACCTACGCCTACACGAAAGCCATAGCCGAGCATGCGATCAAGAAGCACGCCGACGACTTGCCGGTCGGCATTTTTCGTCCTGCTATCGGTGCGAACACATTCTCTTATTAACAATACGAATGACATAATGTACACTTTACTCAAATCGGCACCGATCGGACAAAGATGGAAAATCGCACGTATCAGTAATTGATAACTCTACGACGCGTTCCCCGGCTTCGTTTTCAGTACGAATGTAGTTTACGGTGGGAAGGAAATTTCGAAACAACGCAGCCGACGTCCGAGCGGCTCGAAAGACCATCCTTAACTCGACCGTCTTACCGTTTACAGTAATCTCCACGTACCGGGAACCGGTTCGGGGTTGGATCGACAACATGTACGGGCCGACGGGGGTGGCCGCCGGCGCCGGTACCGGATTGCTGCGGTCGATCCATTGCGACGGCTCGGTGCACGCAAATGTCGTGCCCGCCGATTTAACGGTGAACGCGTTAATCTTGTCTGCGTGGGACACGGCGAACGTTCACAGGTACCTTTTCACGCGGCAATCCCCCCCCCCCCCCCNNNNCCCCCCCCCCTGTGCGACCCGTCGTACACTCGAAGATCAAACGTCAGCCGCGCCGTTAAGAAAGCTTCGGCTCCCGAAAGCGTGTCAGTCCGCGAATCCCGGTGACACATTGATTGCAAAATTAATTCGCGTCCGCTATTTATAGCACCTATTCCTCACGAAAACTCGAGTCTCACGGAAGAGAAAGTATGCCTCTTAGAGCGAAGGATAACGCTAGGTCGGAAGAATATTGATTCTCTCTCCTCCTGCGAAAGAAGCGCGTCGTGAAGAAACGCGAAAACGTGATGTGCTTTCAGGCAGAACAACAAGACGAGCGGTGAAGTTCCGATATACAATTACGTGTCGAGCGACAACCCGATCACTTACGATCAGCTGAAGGAGCTGTCAGCTAAGTACGGTCTTGATATCCCCTCCAACCGGGCGATCTGGTATTACAGTTTCCGGAACAACAAATACAGAATAATCCATCTGTTCTTCGTGTACTTCATGCATCTGCTGCCAGCTCTGTTGGTCGACACCGCTACCTTTTGCATGGGCAGACAACCCAGGTAGGAGCGTTTGATGTATAAAATGTCCGAAGATAAACTTATAAGACGGTCGTAAATATAAGATCTGACTATGAATACCGGCAAAATAGATCAGCAGATGTGTTTCTTCCAGTACGTCTCGAAGCCTCTCTTTGCATCTCGCTCGAGCAATATTTTTCTTGTATTGTCTGTCGAAGGTTACTCAAGGTTTACAAGAAGATACACAAGTTTATGGACGTGCTCAAATATTTCTGCACGCAAGAGTGGACGTTCACGAATGACCGGCTGCGCGCGATGATAGGCAAGCTCTCGCCCAAGGATCGCGATAAGTTCTACTGCGACATACAGGACGTCGACTGGAACTTGTACTTCGAGACGTACATCCAGGGGATCCGCGTGTACCTGATCAAGGATCCCTTGGACACGCTGCCGCAGGCGCGCGCCAAGTGGCAAAGGTACGTGGCTTAAAAGTTGAGTATGTGATTAGGAAACACTTTTTTTTATAAGGTTCGGAACGCACCCCGTGTCCAACAAGAGAATACGTTTTTTCAGCCAATCTCAGGAAATACGTTTTCCTATTGGATACGAGGTGCGAAACTCATCGAAAAAGAAATGCCGCCTTATGACTGACCGTATACAGTCGTCCGTGAAAATTTTCGGCTTGTTTGCGATCTCTGCGCGTGCGATTCGACAATGACGCGCAAAACAAAAGCTTCTATACGTGTCACATCTCGAGAACATTCATTCGTTTTTACTGCGATATTCCTACGTCAAGCGTGACGAACTTCTCTCTTTAGAACTTCTTAGAAGTCGAGTCGGATATTTTTCTCATGATACTTCTTTATTGCTTAGCCGAACATCTTTTAACGCCTTTCAGGGATAAAAAACAAGCGAGATTATGTAAAAGAGATGTGACGTGTTCGTTTTTTTTCTTTTATCGGAGGAAACGTTTCCTACTTGAAAAAACGTTTTACATCTTATTATTTTTGACGTGACACCTAGGCTGAAAGCCAATTAGTACTTTGCATTATTTATAGAACGGGGTGATTTATGTTGCAGATTATTCTGGACCCATCAGGTGCTAAAAGTCATAGTGGCCTGCCTCGTGATCAAGTTGTCGTGGGCGGCCGTGTCGCCGTTCTTCGTGTACTTGAATTACGTGTGACAGGAACGGGCGGGGGGAAAGGAGTAAGGTAGATAGGGTCCGGGATCGAGCACGTCGTCCTGGGCAACGCGAGAATAATCGGTGGAGGATAATCTTCTTCGAGTTGTACGGGGATGAGCAGAGGCGAGCGTGGATTCTCGATGGAGTCGGACAACGCGGGAACCGCGGCGACGAGGGAAGAACGGTAGAGCGAATTCTAGACGGGTCTCAGCCGTCTCTCGTAACTTTGCGCCTGTAGGATTTAGCCGGATGCTTTGTGCACGTGGCACCTGAAGATATTACACGCTTCCGTTTTCTTTTTTTTTTCAATTATACACCGAACGGACAGGATGCGAAATGTGACGTGTGAACAGTATCTGAGCGACAACAGCAACGCGCGGCAATTCGATCGCATTGTTCTTAGCTCCGAGTTCAGTTCTCGCGAGTGAACTGTGAGTGAGAACCACACGTTACCTTATTTCCAAAGTAGATATCGTAAGACTTTTTTGAGAGACGAGGGTTAGAGAGAGAGAGAGAGAGAAAGAAACGGAGAAAGCAAAAATAAAAAGAAAAGAGTTTGATTAGCTGTGCATATGTGAAATGTCGTCGGTATTGTGCTGCAATTTAGTGCATAAGTTAGTCGCAGGATCAACAGAGCGTTTACGTTTCATAACGGTTGCTTTTGGGTCGATCCGAGATTTCGCGCTCTCGCGAGGAATGCGTTTCTCTTACCCTGGATTATCCAACACCAAAAGAGAGGAAAAAAGATGCGGAAGGTGGAAGCCGATAGAAACGTGCGAGAAGCAAAAAAGCCGCGGGAACGGGCTCTCGAGATGCGGAAAGTGAAGCGAGGAGCAATCGTGGATTGAATCGGAACATCGGAGATCAAACAGCTCGAGACTCCGAGAGTGCGAAATGTGGGGATGACGAGAGGGAAAACGAGAAAAAGGAAGTACTCCACCGTTCCCCGGTTTGCTCGAATCTTACCTCGGCGCGAAATCGGCACGAGGAGGCACACGCGTGTGACATTGAATCTTCAACCCATAGACGAGCCATATCGATCTCAATCCTCGAAGAAGACATCGAGAGATCGCGGAGTAAAAGCGACCGGGTGATCCGAGAGAGTTCTCGGAACAGGTTACACCGCGAGTGAGGCGAGAAAGTGAGTGCCGATGAACGAGCTATTAATTTACGCAACCCGCGATCATGTTTGCCTGTCGTTACCGAACTTATTTTACGAATCAGCATTTCGCGTGCGCGCGACGACTGGTTCGCGGGGAAGGAAGCGCTTTAAAGCGCGCGTTATCCCGCGAGTAAAAAGGCAGAGAGAGAGAGAGAGAGAAAGGAACAACGAAGAACAAACGAGAGAGAGAAAAAGAGAGGGTATTCTTAATTTATATTTAATAATCGCATCTTGTACTTTTTACCGTTAGCTGTTAAGCACACATACGTAACGCGAGCGAAAAAAGCCAAAGGGCTCTCAAATACTGAGAGAAAGCACATATCTTGACGGTTGACGGTTGCACACACACATACATACATACGTATATATCAAGTGTGTGACACACGTGACATGTACGTAACACACACCCACACACACACAAACACACATACACACAGAACTAAACAGAGTACGTCATAGCCTCTTATATGACGATGTACGGGTATATGTACGGTGATGCGTGATGAATCGAAATGCAATGATTATGTGTAAGCATTTATTCGCTCGCCGCGGACGAACGTTGACGGACCGGTTAGACGTAGATTTTTCGGAGAACCGTAGACTCGCGTCGGTATTTCTCCCTTTTATATATATTTGTATTATAAATAAGTCATGTATGTTGTAATTAAAAAAAAAAGTATCGCGATGGGAGATTTAATATTGCCAGAAGACTTCGTGTCGATTCGACAGTGAAAAAAGTGGCGCCGGACAGGAGAGTGGGAATATAAGGTGAACCGAAAATTCGCTGCGGTCAAGGTATTCATTATCCCCCGACCTTGTTTGCCATCGCAAAAGTGCACACTTCACAAACGTGACAGAGATGGGGCAATCTTTTATTTATACGCTGGAATGCACGTGAAGTTACGTAATTCAGCGTATACGTAACTCTGTGAGCGAGAATCGCAACTGGGTGCCCCATATATTCCCGCCTTTCCTAAACTCGCGCACTCTAAAATTCGCGTTTCGAAAAACGAAAAGCAAAGACCGCAAACGTCGTAATCGCATTGTCATTCGAAACTGAGAAAAAAAAAAATTAGCGTTGGCCCATGAGGGGATCGAACCCGCGACCTTCGCGTTATTAGCACGACGCTCTAACCAACTGAGCTAATGGGCCACATGTTATCAAACGATCTGTTAATTTTCTTTAACCCTTGCGATCCAGTTAACGAGAATGTCAATGGATGTGACGGTAAACAGAATAATTATCGCTCGCAAGAGCATCTTTATCCGCTTACGTTCGACAGATATAACGTGACGCAAGATGCAAAACGAACAGAATCGTGTCTCTCGCACTTGCCTCATTGCCGTTCACGCGCGTTTTGCGTCGCGTTGACGTCCTTTTCTCTTTTCTTTTCACCCAATTTCTGACTTGAAAAGATAATCTTGGTAAACACATAAGCGGATAAGAGAATTATGTGCGGCGAACACGCGAACGGAGGTATCGTTATTGTTACAGATGTACTTTATCTTTTACATTTTTGTTACGACATGTTCATTTAAGGTTTTGTAAAATAAATATATTGTTGTGTGTGTATGTGTGTGTATGTGTGTATATGAGTACGTGTGTGTGTGTGTGTGTGTGTCGCGGGAGTGATATTGTAGTCTTATATAAATAAACAACGGATAAATCGTGGTTGAGAAAATGCTAATGAACATGTTAACAAGCAAGCACCGCGCAGCCGAGGCTAAGTTTTTATGTGTGTCACAAATGCGCTCACATCAAAGGAAAATCATCGAATAACGCTGACGCGACCGTTCGTCGGTGACAAAATTTAAGACATCACGTCGTTGACGCGCGTTAAATTGTTTTACATTCGATCATAAATTTAATTACATCGATTAGATTTATTATGAAATATGATTAGAACGTAATCAACATGAGAAATAAAATAAATGATAAAAACCTCATAGCATGTGTGTACTTTCATAAAACTCAATTATCACTTAGTCATTATTATCTTATTTAAACAAAGCCCAATTAGATTCTTAGACGGTTCAAGGAGCACTTTACAGATTTAAGTTTCCAGATTAGATTAGATATTTATGGATATGAAAAACTAGAAACTTCAAACTGCAAAATACTTTCCGAACTACTTGGATAACGTAATTTCTGCTGAAGTTATAACTTGTTGAATCTTACCTATCATTCGGGATAAAATAAAATATATCTGATTTGTCCTTAAGATGTACTACAACTTCGTTCTTCTCTTTTTTCTTGTTGAAATGATCGAGAAACTCTAATTTTCTATCAGCTAGTTGAGTTTGTTCTTCAATGAGGGAAGTGGCGCCTCGTAGCGGAGACTTTGGAACTAATTTCCAAAAATATCGGGTCTAAGCGCCAGACACGCCTGGTTCAGACCTGTTATTTCAAGAGGCAAATAAGGGGTCCAAATCAAGGCTGTCCATGCCGTTATTTGACCCGTTATTTTTGGAAATTAGTTTCAAAGCTCTCCTGCAGTCGAGCGAAGAACACGGAGACATATTTTTCTACCTGTCAAACATTTCGTTTGTTAATACATCGCCGAGCGTAACTGAAAACGCAAAGGAAAACGTAAAACAAACACGAAAATGCTTCGCGGATACGAAGGTGTGAGATATATCACGGATAAACAAATGGTAGTGTTCGACATTGGTGGTGCGTACACCAAGTAAGTGCAAAAAATGATGATGTTCACAATCTGACCAAATTTCACCATCTTTATTTTGACAGAATATATTTATATGTGAAATAATCTGGTCGCGATTTAATTCAGGTTCGGCTATGCGGGAGAGACGTCTCCACGCGGTATTATACGAACGGAGGTGAGATGTCCGGAATCCAAAAAGATACGCAGAATTATCGATCACATCGACGTTGAGGACTTGTATCAGCTTCTCGTGGAATTTCTTCATCTATTGTTCTTCAAGTAAAAATCATATATTCTCGTGTTCTCATTGCTCTGTTTCTCAGAACCTTCACTCTTCACATTTTTCTTATAACATAGATATGTTGTGGTAAGTCCGAAAGATGCAAGAATACTAATATTGGAGTCACCATTGGCAGCAACAAGATTCAGAGACACTCTGGCTAAAGTGATGTTCAGACACTTTGAGGTTGGTTCTATATTATTCTTACCGAGTCATCTGGCAACTATCAGCACTCTTGGTATCGATACAGCTTTGGTATTGGATGTTGGGTACCAAGAAGCTACTTTAATCCCGATCTTCGAGGGAATACCGATACTTAAGGCTTGGCAGGCATTGCCTTTGGGTGGACAAGTTGTGCACGAGTGAGTCATACCATTCATTTCTTTACACTGATGTTTACATAATAAGCTCGCAATCTGATTCCCGTGCTTTGCAGCAACATAAAGAAGTACTTTAACGACGTATCGACTGATCTGGATTTCCCTGAAAAAGTACTGGAAGATATTAAGGTACGAACATGTTTTGTAACTACACTTGAGAGGTCTACGAAACTAGGAACGAAAGATGCCCCTGCTCCACCCCCCACTGTCAAGTATCCTGGCGTTAAAAGTATCTCGGTGCCTGGGGAAATCAGAGAGAAAGCGTTCGAAATACTATGGGAGAGGGACAATGATAATCTCTCCTTACCAACCATGATACTCGATGCCATCGTCAAGGTAAAGCCAACATCTATCATTCCCAGTTCTTTCCCAATAAAATACAATAATATATCTACATTCTTCATTTACATAAGACAAAGCGTACTTAATAACGACCAATTTTATACATACACACATAGTGCTCTTTGGACACGAGATGCGCCTTGGCAGAAAATATCGTACTCGTCGGTGGGACGACAATGGCGAAAGGTTTCGCGAGTCGCCTGAAGTCGGAGTTGCTGACGTTAGTCAAGAGCGATCTGTACAAAAACAAGTTGAAAGTGGAATCGTTCAAATTCCACAAAGCGCCCAGCAAACCGAACTACACCGCATGGTTAGGCGGTGCTATATTCGGCACGACGGATTTGCCGTTGCGATGCCTAACGAAGGAGATGTATCTGAAAACGAACAGAGTGCCCGATTGGTCGAATCTCGTGGACAACCAGAAGGACGAGACATCGTACGAAGTGTGAGACCGCCTCACGAGACAACCCCGAGATTTTGTAATCTAATTTGTATAGAAAGCGAAGATAAATGATTTTATTTATTATCTCTCAACCAACGCCCGAGTCGCTCTTTTTTAAACTTTATTAATAAATTATCATTTTCTTTCTCTCACGAAGGAATATCATAGTCGTAAACGACGGTGTAACAGAAACCGGAATATACAAGAAATCGTCGTTATTATTGAATCTCCTTTTATACACAATGCAGTCAGGCATTTTTACAGGGTCGTAAGTAGCGTGAGTTTTTCGTTGAGTTGCAACTGCGTCTTGATCAACTGTGACAACGCGACCACCATCAGAAGATCCTTCACGTTACTGTTGAACATCTCGTCGAACTGATCGCTGGACATCTTCGGCACGGAATGCACCATGTCCAAGAGTGCTCTGCCAACCTGAAACCGGCAAAACCGTCGCGTTTCTTTGATACCGTGCGACAGCGGGTTTCCCCGAACGAAGAGAACAAACGTAGCATCGTATCTACCTGATTATCCGGCAATTGTTTCCCAGCCAAAACATCGTCGACATACGCGAGCACTTGCTCCAGCATTAAAGAGAGCTTGGAGCAAGCCTCCGACACTTGGGCGAGGTCCATCATGGGCTCGATTCCTCCGCCGGATTTCATGCTGGGCGGCTGTACGTGGGACTGCAATTGAGTCTTGGAACATAACTGCAGTCCTACGACCTCAGGTTCGTAGCATGTAATCTGCACGAAAAGATCCAACAATATATTAAAGAACACTGGCTTCGTATGAAAAAGGATATACAGGGTGACTCAGAGTAACTGTGTACGTGGGGTGTACGTACACTGGAAGGCTTTTGCAGCCTTTTGAGATAAACTAAACAACTTCAAGTGAAAGATCTTAAATATAAAATTGCTGCATATTATGTGTGTTTTGTTAAACCATCACATAGACTAACCTGTACTTTAACCGGAGTGAACATGGACCCTTGCTTGCCATTGGGCACTCCCAACGGGACGCACACGTAAGCTTTAATCGCCATTCTCGTAGTATTCAGTAACGTGGTGTCGACGGTCAAATGCACTGGGTTGTTACATTCTCGCACATAATACTCGTGTATGACGGACGAATGCGTAGTAACCTGAAACATATTACCACTTGGTTGTACATCCAAAAATACATGTTGCAAGAAGTCTGAAGAAGATAAATGGCAAAGTCACCTCGTTGCCGGTGGCCCACCAGCCGACGATATTCTCTTGCGCGTTGACTCTGTGATTCAAGTCGTACAGGTCCATGCCATAGGTGAGGTCGGCCTCTACCTGGCTCTCAGATTCTTTGTGCGGCACGCAGAAGCAGTTGGTTACCTCGACAATGCCTTTCTCCGCGGTACCTGTCGAAATAACGCGTGTCGAAAATTAGCTGGCGGTTGTCAAAAATCACGCCTGGGCGTCCCAGACGTCGCTTCCTGGTGCGACCGAATGCGAGAAGCCCTCCTCATTTTATGTGTGTGTGTGTGTGTGTGTATATATCCATTACCCAATAAGGTTCCAATAACCCGCAAGGATTCCGCTTTCCGTCGCTCGTACGCATCGACGATTTGAAATAAAACCACGGGATGCACCTTGACAGTGAGGTTAAGCGCCATGTTTACGTCACTTCGCGCCGCAAGAGAACGTGTTCAGGAACGGTGAGCCGATTGTCCCCCGCACCCCTCGGCATCGGGAAAAATTCTACCGCCATCTGAAGTCTGTTCTTTATAACTAAACTAGATTGCTATTCTTGCCTTTAGAGAGAAATGAGTGTATTTCTTAGCGTTGAAGGGAGAAAGAACGAAGTTCCGCCAAAAAAAGAGAGTCTCTAGAGCGAAGTGAACCAGAACAGGAAATAAAATTCCACATGTGAACTGTTCTTTTTAACTTAACTGAGCGCAGCCGGTTTAGCTAAAAAGAACAGACCGATAGTGACGGAACAAATTTTCATGCAGACCCTTTCGAATGTACCTTCACGGTTCATTTAAGTACACACCATCCTGCGATTTTGCCAAAAAGATTATAATAATTAATTATTCTGTTGATTAGACGTGAAACTCATAAAAATCTACGAATCATGGTCCGTCGTTCACTCATTGACCTGTTGAGTGGCAGATTAACTGATGATCATGTGAGCAGAGAGTGGACGATATCAGAGAGACGTGGAGAACGTGTTTTTCTAAAATTTCGCATGATTTCTCTCTAACATTTAAGGAAAAGTGTGGAAAAACATGGTAACGGTAGTAATTTCACAAGAGGAATTTTTCTAACTTGACTGGAAAAAAATCCGTCCGCACTTATTACACACGAGTTACACACGAGCACGTGATAGCGATACGAGATTTTATACGGTTCGCATTTTAAGGTTAGTCCGGACGAGACATCATTCTTCGACCTAATTTACTCCCCATTTATTCATATGAGCTGGTGACACGCGTTATGCTAATCGGACTATTGTGACTATATGTTTAAAATGACGCTTCTCTGGAAATTATTGTCTGATCCTGGTGTCCTGCGAAAAGCAGGATGCCTCGGTCTCGGTGTATCGCATAAGTACTTATTCGACTCGTACCTGACAACACGGCTCGTCAGAGTGTCGAAGAAGAACCGGGCGACATTGGTCGGTCTGAGACACCATGCGACCAAGGCCATCGAATCCGATGTCTTGACAACGGTCGCACATTCGGCCAAAAGGACCAAGAAAACCTCGGAGCTGAGGAATTTAATCCTGTTAGCCGCGCCAGAAAAGTGGACTCTAATGCAGGCCATCGCATTTTTACTGGTGTCATCCGGCGTGACGATGGCAGTGCCCTTCTGCTTCGGCAAAGTGATAGACGTCATCAGCAATACAAAGAAAGAAGACATGAAAGAGAACCTTAATCGGCTAACGTTGGTTCTGCTTGTAGTATTTCTCATTGGTGGCCTTAGCAATTTTAGAAGAGTTTATTTGATGTCAGCAGCAGGACACAGGATCACACAGTCACTGAGGAGACAAGCGTACACCGCTATCCTCCGGCAAGAGACAGCGATGTTCGATAAGGGGAGCACAGGAGAACTGGTCGGCAGATTGAGCGGTATATTCTGAAATAATCTTCCACCAGATCTAACGTATCTAACATATCTCCAGGTGTTTCAAGCTTTAGGCCGAAAAAATTGACCAATCACAGTTGATTATTCTCTTCACATTCGACTGTGATTGGCCAATTTATGGCTTAGAGCTTACTATATCGATCGTAGATCCGGACTTACCGGATATAAAAGCGCACCAACTTCGTTCACCTTCTAATCCCTTATTCTGACCTTCTTGTACTTTCCTGTCTCAGGTGATACGCAACTCATCAGCTCCGCCGTCACGTCCAACGTCTCGGACGGTCTGCGTTCCGCTATCATGGCGGTGACAGGAGTGTCGATGATGTTCTACGTGTCGCCGACGCTCGCCCTGCTCGGCCTCGCTATAGTACCGCCGGTCGTGGCTGTCGCGGCCGTCTGGGGCCGCGTGCTGAAGAGAGTCTCCAAGGAGCTGCAGAACAGTGTCGCGGTGCTGAACGCGACCGCCGAGGAGAGGATCGGCAACATCAGGACCGTGAAGGCGTTCGCGCAAGAGGAGCGCGAGATCGACCGGTACTGCGGCAAACTGCGGGACGTTCTCGCGCTCTGCTACAAGGAGAGCCTCTACAGAGGCCTGTTCTTCGGCATGACCGGCCTCTCCGGGAACGCCATCGTCCTCTCCGTCCTCTACAACGGAGTGTTCATGGTGTCTAGCGGCGACATAACGATCGGCAGTCTGAGCGCCTTCCTGCTTTACGCCGGCTACGTGGGCATGTCTCTGAACGGACTGTCCACGGCGTACAGCGAGCTGAACAAGGCGCTGGGCGCGAACGCCCGCCTCTTCGAGTTGATCAACCGACAGCCGCTCATCCCTGTCCAGGGCGGACGAGTCTTGCCCAAGGAATTGTCGGGCAACGTGGCGTTCCGCGACGTCTCCTTCGCTTATCCGACGCGCGACACGGTGCCTGTGCTCAGGGGCTTCGATTTGAACGTGAATGAGTGCTCCGTGACAGCCATCGTCGGGCTGTCCGGCTCCGGCAAGTCCACTGTAGCATCGCTCTTGCTCAGGTTCTACGACCCCACGAAGGGGTCGATCCTCTTGGACAACCACGACCTCCGTCTGCTCGACCCCGCGTGGGTGAAGTCGCAGATCAGCGTGGTGGCCCAGGAGCCGATTCTGTTCAGCTGCTCGGTGCGGGAGAACATATTGTACGGGATGGAGGGCGCGTCGGACGCCGACGTGCTGGAGGCCGCACGACTGGCGCATGTGTTGGAGTTCACGGAGAAGATGACGGACGGCCTGGACACGATAGTGGGGGAGAGGGGGATCGCGCTCAGCGGCGGTCAGCGTCAGCGGGTCGCCATCGCCAGGGCCTTAATTAAGGTAAATCGCGTCTCGTGAATTTATTTCTAATTAAGGATGTATTGCCCGTGGATATTTGCAGGCGTATCAAGGAAGCTACTCTCGCAAATTCGGTATTTATCGAGCGGAATTACGTTCCTTCGGGCCAGGCTCCGAATTACCGTCATACTTTCGGTGTCGTTTCTAAACGCAATGTAGATCAATTTGTAATTTTTTAATAATTTTTTGCCATTATTTTGAGTTTCACGGGCAATACATCCTTGAGCCTCGCGATCGACGGCCATCTGAAAGATCGTGTCACTCTTTTCCCCTCTAGAAACCAAAGATTCTAATACTTGACGAAGCGACCAGTGCCTTAGACGCGGAGAGCGAGAATTTCGTTCAGGAGGCGTTAGAGCGCGCCATTCGTGGCAGGACGGTGATAACCATCGCCCACAGACTCAGCACAATCAAGAACGCCGATAAGATCGTGGTGCTCGACGGCGGTCGAGTGGCGGAGACCGGCTCTTACGCCGAGCTGATGGCCTTGGAGAACGGTCACTTCAAGAAACTTGTGAAGCACCAGACGTTCACGTAGAAAAAAAAAAGAGATAGAAAACACAAAATTCGCCGAGCGAACAAGCGCTCTCGATTCGCGCTCGGACGCTCTTGCTCTCGTTGTGCTTGTAGAAAAAAATGTATATATTACAGATATATTATACGCATATATATATATACATATATATACATATACATACATACATATATATATATATGTATATATTACGTATGTATGTATATATTTATTACTTTTAGGCGTCGAACGACTAATAAAATTAGTTAGTGCTTATCTTGACGCATCATTCGGACGGAAAACTCGGAAGCGGAGTAAGAACGGAGTAACATCAGTTCCGGGCGCTGTGCGTTCATCGCCGATACGAGATCTGAGGGACGATAGGTGTCGGAGAGGAGGATACGTGACGCATTGTCTTGTGGAAAAGAGGAAACACAGACAGCGAGGTACGATTCCCGCCTTGTTTTTCAGGAGTAACACGAGAAGACGGGTATACGCTACGAATAAGAGAGAAGTCGACAATCATTTTTATATATTTTGTTATAAAATAATGTACAGCTATTTTCAGATATCCACATTTGTGTGTATGTGTGTGTGTGTATGTATATATTATGTATGTGTGTACGTAGTGTATAATGTCGTGTTATTAGTTTATATTACTCTTACCCCACTTCTACGATATTCATCTAATAATTTTCATTAGATCCGCGTCCAGCTCGAATCCGCTCGTAAATATTTTGTGCACGTACATAAAACTGCAAGCAGCTCCAAATCACAATCGCAACGGGTATTCGTGCGTGGATCGATCTCTAATATAGTTTACTTTTCAGTTGGTTTTGCTTTTTCGCACAATACATGTGTGGTCTTATCAATCATATTTGGCTCTCTCATTCGTACTCGGGTTGTGTTTCACTCGCATCCGGATATCTCTCATTCGCTTCTTCGTCCTTCGGGTTCGCGTTGTAGAAAAAACTCGCGGGCGCGCAGCTCTCCTTGTTGTTCGACTATTCGATCTCGTCAGCGCGAAAATCACGATAGCGAAATGGAAGGAATCACACGATGCCGTGTCTCCCCGATCGCGAGACGGTTCGCGTTTATTGGCTTCGCTTTCTCTCCTTCTCTCATCTCCACACGCAACGAACACTCGGTGAAAGAAAAGTACTCGTCCGTATCAACGATCGACGGGAAATCGCGGATTTGGAATCTGCACACCGATCCCAATGAACCGTGTCGCGATAGACTACCTTTGAGAATTAGCTGTAGCGTAATTTCGGCAGACAGCTCTCCGCGAGAAGCAACGCCGCTCCTCCCGACGTTCCTCGCGAGTGTGTCGCGCGCCTGCCCACCGGGTGAACATCGCGCGAAGAATCAAATATCCGATTGATACTCCCGCGAGAGTGTACCCGACGAGGGCCTTGTTCCGTGACTTTTCAACTGTCGTTAAAAGTCGAATACACAGAAAAGAAGGGCCCAGCCGGGGAGGATTGTGTGTAATCGTAACTTGGTATTGTAAGGCTGCTGCGGCGACGATCGCGGCTTCGTTCGTACGTTCACTCGGCGGCGAGACACACACCGGACGTCGAGACCCGAGCTCACGGTATTTCCCCGGTACGTTGCGTCACGTCTCCGAGAATCGATCAATTGTTTAGATAATACTTGTCCGATACGCAATATACACAGTAGTTAATATAGGCACAACCTTACTCTAAGCGGATAACTATCGGTACTCGTGTATAAATCCATATTGAAATGTCTTACACCGCCCGGCTGAATTCCCGGCTTCTCTATACAAGCGGTTTTCGATATTACAATCTCTTTCCTCTCGTTTCCCTCCCCTTTCTTTCGGTTTCCTTTTACTGCGTGTGCTCGTTTTACCCCCTCTTTTGTCCTTTCGCGGAGTGTAGGCAGTGTTCATTTTCTTCTGAGAAGAGAGTTAGAAAAATTCATCCCGTTGGTGTGTATATGTGTGTGTATGTGTGAGACGTCCCCTCGTTAAGTGTAATAATTAACCGGGAGGCGATAAAACCAACGATAAACCCGGAATAAATTAAGGATTGGCGAACGCGAGATGTTCGAGAGTGACGGACAATGCCGAGGATCTCGTCGAGGACTCGCCCCCCCCCCCCCCCCCCCTACNGCTTGCTTACCGCGCTCGCAACTGAAACGTCGTGACGTCGAAGGTTCACGCAAATCATAATCGACGCACATCGTCGTACGCCTGCCGTCGTCGCTGCCACGAGGATCGCGCTTGAACACTCGCGTGTCCAGCCCCGGCGTGTCGTCGATATCTACGTCGAGAAAACTAGATATCAAACGTTAAAACAGAGAGAGGAAGAACCTATGTGAACTTAGGACTCGACTTGGGTGAAAAATGTTCCCACATGTGCATTCGATCACGCTCGGTTTGTACCCGTTTGTACCTCCACGGGAGTGGAAATGCGAAATATAGTTACCCTTTACACGAATTCCCAATATTTCGTACATCCCGTAAGGGTATAAATGGGATATAAACGATGCTCAACCGAACAACACTTGGAAGATTGCTGTATGTATCGAAGTGGGGTGCTGATAACTTTTTTTTTTTTAACGTAACGCTTCACCCTTTCGAGGTACAAACGAAATAAAAAGCGGTGCAAACGGGTACGATGCTCGATCGAATTAGAAAGATTCTCTCAAAAAGTGGGCTGCTGATAATTTTTTCAGCCCCCTACCCCCGATAACTTTCAGCCCTTTGAGATACGAAAAACGAGACAGAAAATGGTACAAACGGTTATAAACCGAGCGTAATCGAGTGTATATATGAAACCATTTTTTTTATTAAAGCAGAGTACCAAGTCTACGTAGACAGAGAGAAAAGGGTGGTGAAAGACACGCCCGGATCACGCGAGTGTGGATTAACTCTTCGACAGTTCCTCCATCGTCTCGTGTTCCATCTGCTCGTCCAGCTGTTGCTGCTGCTGCAACGTCGGCGTCGTCTCCTCGTCGTCCACCTCCATCATCTCCACCTGGTGGTCGTGCGACTCCCTCCTGCACGCGGTGCTCTCGATGACCGAAGACTGCTTGTCCTTCACCGGTGCACTCGTCAGACCGTCGTCCTGCGGACAATCGGCGTCGGCGATCGTGCCGTCCGTCATCTCGACGACGGGCGACACGGTCGAGTCGAGTTTCTCGATCACAGTCGCGGCGATTTCTCTGGCCTTCTCCATCTTCGTCGGCTCCGCCAGCACCATGGGCTCGACGACGGCCGTCTTGTCGTCGGGGATCTCCGTCATCTTCACACCGTCCCCGTTGAACTCGGCGCTTGACGCCTCGTGTTCCGTCTGCTCGTCGCTCTTGGAAGATGCTTCTCTGGGAATGGACTCTGGAACCTGCTCCGTCACCACGTCGATGTTGTCGGTCCTTTGGCTGTCGGGTTGCAGCAAGCGGCTGTCCTTGGGCGGGATCGTCGTCCCCTTCGGCTGCAACTCCGTCTTCTCCGAGCTGCTGTGTAACGCCTCGCTGCTGGACGTCGACACGATGACCGCGCTCATGCATTCGTCGGACGCGTTGTCCGCGCTCGGAGACTCGACGAACACCATCTGCGCGGCCTTGGTATCCTCGCCGTCTTGGCAGCGCGGATTCTCTTCGTCGGCCAGGCGCGGCTCGGCTGCCGCTTTCTCCGGCTTGCTCGGGACCCGCTCCTCGGCGACAGTCCCGACGTCGTCCGCGACTCTCATGTCGACGTCCGTCTTCAGCAAGCTCTCCGTCAGCCTGCTCTCTTCGCGAGACATCTCGCTGGCGCCGCTGCATTCGGCGCTCGTCTGCCCCGTGCTCTCGCCGCTCTTCATGGAATGAACGATCCCCGCCGGCTCCACGCCGACGGCCGCCGGGGTCGTCTTCTCGTTTGACTTGTCCGAGCACTTGCTGTCGTCCGCCTCGAAGCGCTTCGCTTGGAAGGCGGCCTGCAGGTTCCGCGTGGTATCCGTCGTGAGAGGTATCACCGTGGCTACCACGGTGACCGTGGTCGTCGCCGAGGATGACGTGGCCGACGTCGTCGACGGCGACGTGCTTCCCGTGGTGGTGGTGGTTGTCGTCGTCGTTGTCGTCGTTGTCATCGTCGTCGTCGCCGTCGCCGCCGTCGTCGTTATCCTTATCGTCACCGCTGCGGACGTCGTCGCCGTGGTCGCTGCCGGCTCCACCTCCTCGTTCTCCATGTCCAGACTGGTCTGGGAGTTGGTGTCCTCGTTCATGATCGCTTCCGGCACGTCGGTACTGCCGGTGGCCGAGTTCACGCCGACTATCGTCTCCGCGGGTGTCGGTAGGTTCTGAACAGCCGGAGCCGCGGCCACCGACGGTTCGTGCGACTGTTCCACTTGCGACGTCAACAAGTTCGGGAAGTTGAGGATGTTGGTCGCCGTGAGGTGGTCCATCCTGGAGACCGCCTGCTCCAGCTTCTCCCGGGCGGTCTCGACCGTGAACACCGTGTTCTTGGGCAGCGCGCCGGTAGTACCTGGCACGACGGTGTGCAGGAGAGGTGTCTCGTTCTCGACGGTGTGCACGCTGATGGTGACGGTCGAGGCGCAGTCCTTCTCCCAGTACTCCATCTCGACGTCCTGCGAGGCCGGCTGCGCCGTCGTCGGCTGTGCCGTCTGCGTCGTCTGCGCTGGCTGCGGGGGCGATGGCGGTGGCGGTTGTTGTTGCTGCTGTGTGACCGTGTCCTCCTCGACGGAGCCGTTCACCATACCGTCGCCCGTCTCGCCGCGTCTAGCTATGGGACCGGGCTCGCGCGTCGACACCACCAGGATGTTCTTCTCGATGGCGCGCATGAACTTGTCCACGCGATTGTACTCCTTGCGCGGCGAGGTGAGCAGCTCGCATATCCGCTGTACGGTGAAGGGCGCGTTAGCGAACGATTCCAGCCTGTCGAGGAGGTTGCTCTTCATCGTGTCGTAATTGAAGTGCTCGACGTTGGGACAGGGCGCGAGTTCGAGCGTCGGGGAGGTCTCGTAGAAGTCTGTCATCACGCGGGTGAGCTTCTCCCGGAAGAGCGTCTTGATCATCGACCACTGATAGACCGGGTCGCCCGTCTTGGCGACCCAGGACAGATAGTTGTCCAGTTCAGGCGGTATCTCCGTCGGCCGCATCTTCTGGAACTCGTCGAGCGCCTGCATCACCTCCTCCAAGTTTTCCATCTTTCCTGCCACCGCCGACGACCCGCACCGATCAGTCCCCTTCTACGAGATCCGTCGCGTCAACGTCGTGATGTATCGCGGTAGGGATGTTCTACGCGAGGATGACAACCAAGAATGAAAAACGTAAACTAGCTAACACACACCGGCCACAAAACAGCAACAATGATCTACGGCAGGAGGGAGAATCACGGCGCTGCCAACCACGGCGAGCCGTGCCATCTCCGTAATTGATTATCACGTTGGCCGTCCTGTGGCGCTCGTCGCGTTTCCAACGGTCGGCTGACGTCTCGCGTGAGCTCGATACCACAACCGCTCAATCAGCTCTTGCATCTGATTGGTGTGAATATATTTTTCATCTAAAAGATGTTTTCGTAAAGCCGGATCTACAATAGTAAGCTTTAAGCCGTAAGAAGTTGACCAATCACAGTCGTACGTGATCGGCCAATTTCTTACATCTTATTACACCTGTCGTAGACCCGGCCTAAGAATATCTTCGTTTATCTATATTCTATAGATTTCATTTGTTCATCATTTTATATTGCATTCGAAGAAACTTTTCGGCCAGTATTTCTAGTTAGATTTTTTTAATTCTTTCTTTTTCACAACTGTCCTAAATTCATCTTCAGATGCCGTACGAATCATTTTTATTGGTTCCGAAGCATCTGAAGATGAACTTGAAACAATTGGGAAGATCTGACAGCCGGAAGCATAATCAGGTTTTATATTTAAATTAGAAGAATAGAACATTTCTTTGGAGATTATTCAAAAATTGCATGAATCTATTTTACGAATAGAAACTGTACTGAAGACAAATAATGGCTCAACTTCGTACTAATGAAGCAATATATTTTTCAAATATTCGCATTATTTCTTTTCTTAGATATATTTCCACGAAAAAAAGATGCGAAGTCGGTATTCGTACAGATTAATCTCAATATATTTCACAATTTTTAAGTTTAGACACGATAAGATCATATAACATGTTCGTGTACATAGAATTAACAAAGATAAAATAAACTTATCTGTTTACAAATACTTTAATATATTTCGTAACGACTCGAATCATCTTCCCGGTACTCGCACATTGGTAAATAAATATCTAAATAAATAAATAGTACACTTGAAAAAAAAAATTACAAACATCCCACGTCGACACATAACTTATGTACGCGATGGCTAACGAAGTAATGTGACTTATTAGTACTTTTCCTTGTGACTCCATATAATCTTCTCAGGTATCTCCCTCCCTCTCTCTTCCGAATGCACAATCAACGATTGTTTATTGTAAACATAATACATATGAAATATCGAATTATCTCTATAACACTTGTAAAATATTAATAGCTTAAAATAATAGTAACCTCGGACTCGCCGCGGCTATCGAATAAAATCTTTAACGTTAATCTATTTATGATAATGTTAACAATTATTTCTTTTTGTACAATGAAGGAAATACAGTAAGTTTATGGCATGGTGATTGTATCAATAACGCGACATTTGATTTTACTTTCGTGCTTCTTTACTAAAAATGTTACTAATGGAAGGAATAAATTAAGTGCGCCTATAAAGTTTTTCTCCAAAAGGCGTTTGATAAGCTTTTGTAAAAAAGAGAAAATATCGAAGACTTATCGTATCAAATTTTAAATAACAAATTGAACGTTGTAACCATTTAAGATTACATTATACACAGATCGTTCTCTTTTTGTCTCCTTGTCGTTAAAAGAACACACAAGACAGTTTGATCTGGTTCCAGAACATTCCTTAACACACAATACAAGATATGTGTGCATCATGTTGACCTAATATTCATGCGTCATGCTGTATTGGTCTGACATACCTTGTGGATTTCCTCTCTTCGATAAACTCGTAATGATCAAAGGCTTAAGAACAATAATGATGTGAATTCATTCTAAACAGATCTTTGTTACTTAGAACTATCCCATAAATCTGTTGTTAATATTGAATTTATAGATTTCAATTAATAATATACCACGTATCGTAAACCAAGAGTTCTTTCACAAATCTGGAGCACTTAAACATCAACTACCATTTTCTTATGAATATCCGTGTTACCAACAACCTAAAACAATCCATATAAGATATATATCTATAAATGTAACGTGCAACTTGCAAGAAGAATGTACAAGTATCGATTACTTACAGAACAAAATTCTTCAAAACTAATCCTACCATCTTCATCTTTATCAGCAAATAGTATTGTCTTGTCTACAATTTGCTGCAACTGAGCATCTTTTAAGTTGCTGCCTACCATCATTTTTAGCACTTGGAAAAGCTCCCCGTTGCTTATGTAACCATCATTATCCATATCATAAATTCTAAATGCAAAGCGTAGTTTGCTTTCTTTGTCACCCTGTCAAACGGACAAATCATATCAATTATCTCTATGCAAGATGCGCTACCATACTGTTTATAGAGAATAAAGCGTATTACCTTAACACTGAATTGAGACACCCCGTGAATAAACTCCTTAAAATCTACTTCTCCATTGCCATCCGCGTCAAATATATCGATGACACGTTGAACCAATGGATTTTGTTGTAACTCAGGCAAGGACATGAACTCGTCGATGCTAAGAGCACCGCTATTATCCAAATCTAATTTCCGAAACCTCTTACCCAATCTCCTGATTTCGTCTACATCAACTGAAGCATCAACAATCATACATTATGAAATTTATCGGAGCTACATCTTCAAGAGATCTTTTCACGAATATTCCACGCGACGCAAATTCGTCAAAACATCGTAAATTACATGCACACCCCGCCTACTTCGCAGTGTAGACGCAATTCTACCGCACGCTCGCTCATTGAAACGTTAACAATCGCAATACCGTCTGACAAGAAATCAGGTTATTTCGAGATACTTCGATTAAAATTCAAGATATTCCGCGGCGACTTACAGTTTGAACAGAGTTCCAGGGGCATCGAACTCTCGTTACCCTGCAAGACAGACAGACATTTGTCAGACAGATCTGTTTACATATACGTGGAAAAAAATACCTCGGAAACAAATCGCTCGCGTAAATTATTTTCGTAAACGAGGTCGGGACACGAGAAACCGGGAGGACCGAGTCGCGGTCACGGATAGGATCGCATATCCGTGCAGGATGCATGACTGATTACCATTTCTGACTAGCTTCGTTTAATCCGTCGGAAAAATGCCTCGGAAACACCAATATTTTGTAGCAGATAGCTCGATAGAGCCGAAACACAATCGCCGCGAAGTGGGGAAGGCGGGGGGATGCGTATCGACGTTTTTCCCGTGCTCGGCCGATTGTCGCCCGTTGCGAACGGGCACTGATATCGGCCCACTTTCAGCCGCCGCCGCCGGTTGCGAGATTGCGCTTCTACGCGGCTCCCGCCTCTCACGGTTATCGGTGAGATTTTTAGCGCGAAACGCCTCGGTGTTGTCGGATCGTCGGTACTCCTCAAAAACGCGCGAACAAATTTTTACTCACGCACGACCGCCTTGACGTGGAGCTGAATAGCCTCAATTGCATCGGAGGGTGAAACCAAACTACCCCGGAAAGAAGTACACTTGACTACCTCAATCCCTTATGCTTCTATTTACGTATAATTTACGGGCATCTTTGGCAACATGATATCGACGATACAAATTAATTTGGACGGATACATCTCGGTTCCTCTCTCTGTACGATGTGGAAGTGTCGTTGTTCACATTGTTTTACGTCATCGAGGACGTCATAGACGTACATGTGCGGATATCGCTCGATCAGTGCGATATCCTTCTCAAGCTGTTGCAATTCACGCTCCAGCCGGGACTTCCTCTTCTGTACGTGCGCCACCGCGACGTTCAACGGCAGTCTTTGGAATTGCTCCATCAAGTCTCCCCACTTGTCTTTCATACCCTGTTCCCGTGTGATCAGAAATTTCTTGAGTTTGACCGAGATTCCGACTAAATATTCATATATCTATACCTACATCCAACAACGCCTTCCGTTCCTCTTTGTCGATATATCGACACGAGGGTATCTCGGGCATCTTATCTTCATCGAGATCACGGCGTTCCGTCGTTTCCACGCCCATGGCGGCTGCTCTTGCGTCAGCCGCGATGAATCTCGGTACCTTCCCATAATTCTGCAGGAAACGTGGAAACGTTAGAGAAAAATAGCGGCAAGAAGAAGAAAAATCGAGAATAATCGTAGGTGCGAGCTGCAGGAGCGAACTGCAGAAACTGCGCTCGTACTTTCTTGTGCACGTAAATCGGAATTAACCCGCTGTACTTCAAATCACGCGTGTCGCCGCGACGAGTGTCGACGGATCGCTGCTTGGGTTCCTTCGGGGAGGAACGTTGGACGTGAAGGATATTTTGTTGGATGAAATCTTTTCCCCCCGCAACGACCAATTCCTCCGGAAGATCCGCCATTGTATCGTTCGTTCTCTCGCTCTAACGACGGTAAGTTCGTTCGTTTCAGCCGCGTTTCCCGCGTTCGGTGAAAAAAATGGAACGCACCAAATACGGTTAAAACGAACATACCTAAAGATTCCTACGTCACCCAAAGAGCAGATTTCAGCGCCACTGGTGGACGATTCCGGCATTTTCATTGATTAATAAATTTGTCCATATGAGCGAGTGAAAAACAAGCATCGACTGATCCATTTTCCGGAGTACTCGCGTCGATACTCGGAAGTGCAATTTTGCTGTCGCGTGTAAATACACCGTATCGGGCTGTATCTTCTTCCTTTTTTTTTTTTTTAATATTTTATCTTCACGCTATGCACATCACACGCATCGGGGTATAATTGACAGGAGAAAAACAAATACGTCCTGTAACACTGAAGGAATATAAAAGGAATGGCAACCATGGGCGAGCCTCTCACTTTAGCGAGGGGTAAGTTCTCATCCTATCCGAATTGTAGAATAGAAATACGATATGTACTTAGTGGGCAATAAATTATTATTTCAATAAATTATGGGATTTCGTTATTTTCTTGCAGATGTCAAAAGGTCGATAGAATTATTAGACAAATTACAAAAGGGTACGTAGTCACAGTGCTATGCGATAAGTTTTCCAATCGCTGCTAATGCCTTTCTATGTATCCTCTCAATCCAAATCTCCTTTCAATTCGTTACAAATGTTTAGGCGGCGAGGTTCCCACAACAAAACTGGCAGCGTTGCAGAAAGTGTTGCAAAGCGATTTTCTCAGTGCAGTACGAGAGGTATACGAGCATGTGTACGAGACGGTTGACATTCAGGTAAAACATGAACGAGCGACAGACAGCTGGTGCTTCACTTATGTATCTTAATTGCTATTCTTACAACTTTCATTATTCTGTCAAGGGTTCGCAGGATGTGCGCGCGTCTGCAACAGCGAAAGCAACCGTCGCTGCTTTTGCTGCCAGCGAAGGTCACGCACACCCGCGCGTAGTGGAACTGCCGAAAACCGAAGAGGGACTCGGTTTCAACGTAATGGGAGGTAAAGAGCAAAACTCACCGATTTACATATCTCGCATTATTCCCGGTGGGGTTGCCGACAGACACGGTGGTTTAAAACGTGGGGATCAACTTCTGTCCGTTAACGGAGTGGTGAGTGTGGAAGTCTTTCCTTCCTTCCTGTGCTTTTTGGAATATTCCAAATAATGTCGCGACGTAATCTGTTTCAGTGCGTCGAAGGTGAGAATCACGAGAAGGCGGTGGAGTTACTGAAGCAGGCGCAAAATTCCGTGAAATTAGTAGTTCGTTACACTCCACGCGTTCTAGAAGAGATGGAGCTGCGTTTCGACAAACAGAGGGCCGCTCGTAGACGCCAACATATGCAATAAATAAAATAGGTGCAATATACTTCATTATATTCCGAGAAAGTAATTATCATGGTTATTGTATTCACACGTCTCAACTACGTAGGCTCATAGTTACAATTTGACTCGGATATATATCATCCTAATGACTATATTCATGTTCTCCTCATTCATCAATAAATATAATCGTTCACCTCTCTGTCCGTATATGCTGTACATTCGTGCTAGATTTTTTATTACATACAGTTTGCAGTGTAGAGAGTAGTTTTGAGTTTTACGGAAACGTGTAAACACAAAATACATAAACTCGAAATTCTTCCTCGTTATTTGAAATGCAGAAAGCATTTTTCTTATCGATATAAAAGAATGTAACAGAAGTTCAATTTGTAGGCAAAAAAAAGAAATGCGATTAGTAATTATATGAACAAAATAACAGCCAGCAAACAATTCGTAGGTCTAATAGATGGATAAAAGTATCACTGACCAATCGCACGTCTCGCCACATCACAAGCGAGACACCGGTCTCACCAGAGATTCGTCGACACCTGATTCCCCGCATCCAATGAGATATTTATATTCCTAGGGAATACAATTCCGGCGACAGATCTGCGAATATACGAGCCTCGCGTGATTATTCGCGAATGAATGTGCAAAATACGTCCTCGCGGGACAAAACGCGCGTGTGCTCGCGAATGTCTGAAAAATTTTCAATCCCGATCGCTTCCGCGCAACACGAGGCGGACTCGTGACGTCACGGTCGCTCGCGGAATGATCCAAACGGTTTCGATCGAAAATGTATGGACTTTCCGCGCGTGCACGCAGCACCGTCTGAACGAATTCTGTAAGATCGCGGATAAATCCGGAGGCGAAGTGCCTGACGGCTTGGCCGGCGTTATCCCACGGACGTGGTTCTCTCTCTCTCTCGTAATCGCGCCGAGAGTTTCCGGACTTCTACACTTCGGAAGTTCATGGCGGGTTGCCGGCTGCCATCTTGGACCTCGCTCGTTTAAGAAGCCGGCCGCCCGCAAAAATCTCGAGTTTCACACGGCCGCGCGGCCTCAGCTATTCCGCGAGTAAGCATCGCGCTCTCGCAAAGAAATCGGGAATTCGTTGTATTTAATCCAGTCAAGATTCGAGCTCGGAATGCTCTAGGTGAGTCCAATATGAGCCTACGTCTATTCCGCGGCCGCGATGGCGTGTGATTTACCACGGGTGCATGTGTGTACGTGCCTTGTGCCTCCTGCATGCGCGTGCTTTCGCTTTGTTGGCCGCTACGCACGTTAATCCCGTACGCGAATCTCGGGAACACGAGGCCCAGCGACCGGGATCCCGTCGTCGCGCCTGTTCGACTCCGCCGTGCCACCGAGTGTGATCTCGTTGTGCATGTTGAGCATACCCGAGTACTCTGGCGGTACAATCGATAAGTGAAAATATCGAAATAAAGTGCTTTCACTTTGTTGTAGTTCGTAAAAATCTCGTTTTATGCTTCTGCTAACGTTTCCTTTCCGCCCACTCGCTCGCACCTCTCGGTAGAACTTGTACAGACCCGAAACTTCATTGCACACCGTGTCTTAGCACTCAGCAAACTGTAATATATCCGCTAACTAATACCTCAGGTTTTCCTAACTATTTTCCTTGGATTTTCCCTCAGATTTCCACGTATGTTTTCAGTAAACATTCGTACTTTTATGTTTCTTCTGAATATTTTGTGCTGTTGCGCTCATGTACATACTGAACGCTAAAGGTATGCCGTATACTGTAACTCAAATTGCCTTGTACTGTAAAGGCTCTTTGACTGACTCATCCTATATATTTTCATCAATATATATGTATATATATATATATATATATTCGTATATATATGAATATCATTTTTGTATCATATGTATCATCTTTTTCCTCATTCTTTCTGCTTGACTCCGAATTTATGCCTGATTTAACAAAATTGTACATATTGTTTAGGTTTATTACTGTTCTCACATGTACGTAGCTGGGTGAACAGAGGAGACAAAGTCATTAATAGCTGTAAGTTTGGGATAGACAGTGGAGACAGTATATCTATCAATAAGGCACTTATAAATAGTAATACTTTTGAGAGAATGGCATTACCAAGTAGAGCACGAGTTTACGCCGATGTGAATTCACATAAACCAAGAGAATACTGGGACTACGAATCTTATGTTGTTGATTGGGGGTGAGCCTTATTATAGCAAACAAAGTTGCGGCGGTGTTGTTGCTACAGCACCACTGCGAACATTCTGTTTTAGTGAGTCATATATGTACTTATATACTTATATCTATACTGACTCATATCTATGCTTCTTGACATAGGCAACAAGATGATTACCAGTTAGTGAGAAAATTGGGGAGGGGTAAATATAGTGAAGTATTTGAAGCCATAAATGTTACAAACAATGAAAAATGTGTCGTAAAAATACTGAAGGTATGTTAACTATGCTATACTGTTACATTCAATGAATAACCAATTTCTCAGTGAGTATCCAATAGAACAGGGAGAACTGACAAGAGGTATTAACATTATTTCCTTTTGTTTGTTGTAGCCTGTAAAAAAGAAGAAAATAAAAAGGGAAATAAAAATTTTAGAGAATCTTAAAGGTGGGACCAACATAATTACACTCCAAGCAGTTGTCAAAGATCCAGTTTCTAGGACACCAGCACTGATCTTCGAACATGTCAACAATACAGACTTCAAGCAATTATACCAGACGCTAACTGACTACGACATAAGATACTACCTCTACGAATTATTAAAAGTGCGTGTATTGTTAAGTGCTATGGAATCAAATATTAGTTTGTGGTGAATCTCGGAGATTATTGTTTCGGTAAACATATTCGTATATTCAATGGGTTCCAGAAAAAAGTTGGAAAATATTAAGTTGCTTCTTTATTTTTTTTTTTTTGCATTTTCAATATCAAGGTGTATCCATTATTACTTGGTTTTGTCTTGATGCTGCATTATGATATCGCAGTCTTGGATGAAAATGAAAACTTTTGCACATGTTTCAAGTTCATTTTGAGAAGCTAAGAAATCATACTCATGGATAGTAACTTTTGTATAATGTTTCTTCCATTTTTCTCCTTATTTTTATGTATGCAATCACTTATCAATATTGTTATTACTGTCACCACTGCATCACTTGCAAAATTATGCAAGAACATTTTGTCAACATATCAAAACTTACAATTAATTTATATGTCAATCACCATTTGCATGAATGGTCTAATAGTTTTGTTATCATGTTATCTATTTACAACTTAGAGGACTTATTAAAAACAACTTTAATCCTGTTAAAGCAAAGCTGAACATGTGAAAAGACGCTTCCTTTTCATCCTTACAGGTGCATCAACAAATTTTAAAGTTTCAGCAAATTTTTTGAATTTCGGAGTTGTGAATATTCGTAGTAAGTAATATATTAGAGTAGTATATGCACACCACGCACACACAACTGATGCACCACCTAATCGCGGATGCAAAATTGAGAGAATTCCCTTAACGTTTTAACATAATCGTTCGATTTTTTTGTGCAGGCGTTAGATTACTGTCACAGTATGGGAATTATGCACAGGGATGTGAAACCGCACAACGTCATGATAGACCATGAAAACCGAAAGTTACGGTTAATTGACTGGGGCCTGGCGGAGTTCTATCATCCTGGTCAAGAATACAATGTACGAGTAGCTTCCCGCTATTTTAAAGGCCCGGAATTACTTGTAGATTATCAAGTATGTATTCCCCATGTGTCGAAGTGTAATAGAACAACCGGAGGGGAGAAACGAGGCAGCGAGAGGCAGCGAATTTTTGAGATGTGTCCAAGTATCACTTTGGTAAAGTAACGCTCTTTGATGTCTTTCAGATGTACGACTATTCATTAGATATGTGGTCATTGGGTTGTATGCTAGCGAGTATGATATTCAGGAAAGAACCGTTTTTTCATGGACACGATAATTATGACCAATTAGTTCGAATTGCAAAGGTTCTCGGGACCGAGGAACTGTTTGAGTATCTTGACAAGTATCACATTGAGCTCGATCCACGTTTCAACGACATTTTAGGCCGGCATTCGCGTAAGCGTTGGGAACGCTTTGTACATTCGGAAAATCAGCATCTAGTTTCACCGGAGAGCTTGGATTTCCTCGACAAGCTTCTACGCTACGACCATTACGAGAGATTAACTGCGCGCGAAGCTATGGAGCATCCTTACTTTTGTAAGCATATACACGCACGTATATACCGATATACGTGTCTTTGTCGCAAAATTGTAACGTCTAGTGCCCTGCGATATCTCCACGGTGTTTGTTGTCTGTGTGATAGATAAAGATTTCTTTTCCTCTTTTAGATCCCATAGTAAAAGAACAAGGTCGGTTGACCATGGTGTCATCATCACCTACTCCCATGACAGGCTCAGTGCCTGTAGGTGAGTAGCGGCCCAGGTAATGTCACCACCTTAATCTACCTCTAACTCTCTTACTAATCGACATATGTCATGTAACTTGTACACTGGGACGCTAAGAGAACTTAATACTGTAAAATATGTTTCTTTTTTCCTTATTTCGCCGAGATTTTTGTGTCCTTATCGTACATATCTCTTTTTCTAACATTGCTATTCTCGACATTTTATATTCACCATTACACAGAGAGAGACTCGTCGTAATATACACACTCACACTATATGCGTGTGTCATGCAGAATACGGATTATTCGCTTGTAAAAATTTTTACGCGCGTGTGAGGACGCGCGGAAGTTACAGCCGCAAATGTTTTGCACTTTACATCGAAATAATTTGTATTTAATTAAGGTGAAGGAGAGATGTAAGTTGTAAATACAGTATTACGTATAGAAAGCATTGATTATATATATATATATATATATATATACATCATACGTATGTATACATATGTGCACATACACGATACTGCTCATGCGTTATGTTACTTTGTACGATCGACATTTACGTCATATACGTTAGAACATGAAACGAGTATACATGCGACGTTTGCGAGCAATAATTACATAAAACATATGATACATAATACACATACATGACACACATACTCGGCACATGTTCTCTTCACAAGCTTTCGGAGTCCCGTTCCTTACATCGCCGTGTTTCGAGTTCCGCCTGACCGATTCGAGAAATCGTATTTGCATATTTTAAAACCATCACGCGTCATAAAATGCGTCAGCGATCTCGCATAACCGAGCCCGAGCCGCCAGTCCGGATTCCGTCGAACGGTATTTTTTTTTTTTTTCCTTTTAATCTTTTCTCTCTAAATTGAACAATCGGCTCACCACGTCGCACTCATTTGCATTGACCAAAGACGAGTCAAGCCCGCTTATTATCGATGGCGTAAATCACGCGCGACATAATTCACATAGCAAAGAATCCCGCGGGGGTGAAGGTGATTTTTTTTAACTAGGAGATCATTACAGATCATCGTGGCGTAACAATGAGCAGCGTACCGGTCCATGGGACAAACGGATTGGAAAGCATGGAAGGAGTTGGAAGCGGGTGTTTGACCCCTTCGGAAGAACTGCCTCAACTCTTATAAGTTCAGCAATTCTGAACGGCAAACCGACTCTCAATCTACCACAGAATATAACAATGCAACAGCAGATATATCGTATCGCCAAGTACATTCTTCTCTGCACCAAAATCATTCTGGTTTGTAACAGCGGCTTCATCGATCCCGTCACTAAGACTGAAGTATCTCACTTTGCTGTGTCTCCTGCAAAAGCATATAACCACTCGAAATTCGCGATGTACTTAGAGAATCACGGGAGATTAGGACCTCGACGTAAAATCAGTCGCGTGAAGACACATGCTCCGTCCATATTGGCCGGTGTGCATGCGATATCAAAGGCAGCGCGTTGCTTACTTCCGTTTCACGACTCGCGATGCGCCCTACTATATCTACTATTTTTTCTGATGTTGCTATTATTATCGTGTTTTTGGCAGATCTATAAATGCATAAAGATGCAGCTAGATCCACTCTCATTTGAAAGATGATTACTCGTGGTTACATGATAACAAGCAAGCAGGTGGAGATTTTAAGCAAGAGCCACCCGTTCGCATTCACACACTTACACTCGCGTACATACACACACACACACACACACACACATACATACATATTAACACGATTACACTTACACACATACCTTAGGCCATTCGGTTTAGTACTTTTAACGATGATAAAAATGTTCGTTTATATCTGATACCACAATAGTTGAATAAAATGTTTGTTATAGCCAAGTACTCTTTGTGCTCTGTGAATACCTGCTTCTGTGCGCGTCCAGCGAGAGCATAGTCGGCTGTTGTTACTCGAGGAGAATCGAGAAGTCGTCGAGTTTCGGAGATACGCGCGATATGTAAGATACAAAATTTTACGGATTCTCCTTTTCTTTTCAATATTCACTCGTATATTGCATATTGTGTTTGCCTCGCGACACGATCGTTCTCCTCGGTGGAAGCCGCTGAGAGAAAGAGAGAATGAAAGACGGAATTAATCTGTGTCGAAGCAAGTGGCAGCTAAATGCCGCTCGATCAAACGCAAGCAAAATTCACAGGCACCTCAAACACTTGGCACAGAGTCCACACAAATACATTATTCGACACACGTACACAAAACACACACACACGCGCGCGCGCGCGCACATAGTTTAAAATATTAGAACGTGTATATTTGTAAAACTCGGTCTCCGTGCGCTGGTCAATCTTACGCCGACTGCTGAACGAAGTTTGCTTTCCATGGTTCACGTAAATCGCATTACGACAGTATCTTTGTTACGAAATGAATTACACGTGGATTATTATCTATATAAATAATATGTAAGGTCGACTCATCGTGTACATTCGTGAGGATTTGTATATCGAGACGAGGACGTATAACACACACTTGTAAAGAAATGTATAGGAATACAACACACGCTCCACTTGTACACTGTATCTTTTTTATATAATTTTCCAAGGATTTGTCAGTTCCTAATATATACGATGAATGAACCGCACGAATGATGGATCATTCATGCGCGACATGTGAAGTGAGGATAGATCGCGATCATTTGTACTCTCGCGCCTCGACGATGCGTAAATTGGTCAAATCAAGCGGAGTGTGATGAGAAATTGGCGAGTGCGTGAGAACACTCTGCATTATATCAGTTAAATAGTAACGTTCGCTTCTCTCAGTCCGACCGCTGCGCCGTTTTTGCCTTATTATCGCGTCATTAACATGTATACGTATGATATATTGCATGATATGCATGCGCATACACACACACTCGCGTCATATACATATTTTTTTATTTTTCAAGGATGTACACTCACACGCATACACACACGTACATATATATACACATATACGTAACACGTGAATAAAAATAGAAAAAAATGCATAGGCTAATACGAGCAAGAATGTTGCTATACGTATAAGATATTATACACGTGTAAAAAGAGCTGGTACCACGCTGCACGCGCGGTTTAGCGTTATATATAAATAATTTTTTTTTTTTATAATTTATTCTACTTGGCTGTCAAGCGCCGTATCGTCGAAGTTATTTACTTACTGTTCGCACGTGTGGTGAAATGTCTAACTGAAGGAAAAAAGGGAGATCGCTTCTACGCGGCAAGAACGGCGCAAACGAACATACAGACAGATACACACAGACACACACATGTACTAAGCCAACACACATACACGTACTTGTTTAACCAAGTTTTATACCCTTTCCTGTTCATAATGTTACGTTTACGATAATCTAGTTTAGTTTTATAGAGAAGAAGGAATAGTGGGCGGGAAGGGGAGGGGGGGGGGGGAA